TGTTTTGACCCAGCGGTTGGGTTAAATGTTTAACCCAGCCTTCTGGGTAGTAACCCAACAGCTGGGTCAAAACAACCCACTTGCTGGGTTTGTCCCTATTTAACCCAGCATTTTTTAGAGTGTACTATTATAAGGAGAGCAAATATTAATGTGCACCACTGTGGCCAAATGCATGCCATATTTCATCCCGTGCTCATCTGATGCATCAGTAGAGCAGCATTAAACCCGCCGTCAGCCTCCAATCAAACAGTGCTGAAGTTTCATGAATGGAGGACAGCAATCCTACAATGACAACCTCTGGGAGTATGGAAGCGCACGTCTGCTCGATCCTTGTCACACAATGACGCTCTATAAGGCGGGTTTGGTTCAGGAACGCTGCTCCGTGCCGCGCGATGTCTTCGGCTCCGCTGCGCTGTCGTTCGTCAAAGCGAAGCAGGTGAAGTCCTGAAGAGAATGGCCGTCAGCAGAGCGTCCTCGGAGGGATGGCAACTTTTAGCAACGCGCCCCTGGACCTCCGGAGACTCTTGCAGAGACTAGTCATCATGTTTTCCTTCAGCATCATAGGCGCCTCGATCCTCTACCTTCTGCTGGGACGCTGCGAGCCGGACGCGGGGGACAGTTGGGGATGGAATAACAATAAGACGCCTGATAGCGTGGATGCAAACAGCTCAGGGAAGGACCTCCCGCACGCGCTCATCATCGGAGTGAAGAAGGGAGGCACGCGAGCGCTGCTGGAGTTCCTGCGGCTGCATCCGGATATCCGGGCGCTCGGCGCAGAGCCGCACTTCTTTGACAGACACTACGCGCGCGGAATCGGCTGGTACAGGTGATAAAGACAGGGGAACGAGGGAAGGAGTTAATGGCACGTTGTTGTGGTTAATATAAGCCCGTCAGTGAGTGGAACTATGTAGGGGAGAGTGGAGACGGTTGCAACACTTTTTGCATTTCCTTTAGTTTCTCAGAGACTGTTTGTATTAGAAAGCCAACATTTTAATACAGTTAAGACACATCTGTCAGCTACACTGTAACGTGTGCAGATGACAATATACGTACAATTTATACTTGAATAGACAAAGGCAAATGTTGCAACTGACCCCATAAGAGGGCACGGTTGCAACATTCATTAAAATGTAATTTCTTAAATATCATTGTGCGATTTCTTTATTTTATTTGTGCACAGAGAGGGTCTTCAGTAAAGTTAAATTGGCTGTATAAAAACAAAGAATTGTAAATGAAAAAAAAAAAACATTTTAAAGTAACAAGTAACAACCATGTTTTGGTTAATTATTAGATCTAAACTACAACATATTAATTTAATCAAAATCAAGACACTGAAATTTAATAATAGCCTACTTCTGTGAAAGTTTACTGAACTAGGGCCAGTTGCATAAACATATAGCCACTATGTTAACACTGTGTCTTGAGAACTAGTTTGACTAACTAGCAGTTAACCAGGTAATCAGTCTTACTTTTAAAAATTCAAATTAGACAAATCTACCATTTTATGTAACTTACTTTATAACTGTGTGTGTGTGTGTGTGCGTGTGCGTGTGTGTGTGTGTGTGCGTGTGCGTGTGTGTGTGTGTGTGCGTGTGCGTGTGTGTGTGTGTGTGCGTGTGCGTGTGTGTGTGTGTGTGCGTGTGCGTGTGTGTGTGTGTGTGCGTGTGCGTGTGTGTGTGTGTGTGCGTGTGCGTGTGTGTGTGTGTGTGCGTGTGCGTGTGTGTGTGTGTGTGCGTGTGCGTGTGTGTGTGTGTGTGCGTGTGCGTGTGTGTGTGTGTGTGCGTGTGCGTGTGTGTGTGTGTGTGCGTGTGCGTGTGTGTGTGTTTGTGTAAGACAAAGAGACGGTGAGAGTGAAAGAAATTAGTCCACAGACTCGAACAGATTTTTAACATATTTACTTAAAAAAAGTGCAATCCCTAACTATTGAAAGGGATTCTTTGCCAATCCATAAAATCACAATTTTGTAATGTTATGTTATGGCAAGCTTTTACATCAGTGTTGTGGTAAGGGAGAGCATGCTGGGACGTGTTGCAACGGTCCTAACACTGACAGCTGTGATAAAACTTGGTATATTCGCTTGACACAATATCTTTGACACATGCTAGCTATACCTATTATAAGCTAAGAAAACACAGATTAAAATGATGTTTTTACAATGCTTCACGCAAACAACTTAGACAATATATATACTGTATATATATATATATATATATATATATATATATAAATATATATTGGGACGTGTTGCAACGGTCCTAACACTGACAGCTGTGATAAAACTTGGTATATTCGCTTGACACAATATCTTTGACACATGCTAGCTATACCTATTATAAGCTAAGAAAACACAGATTAAAATGATGTTTTTACAATGCTTCACGCAAACAACTTAGACAATATATATACTGTATATATATATATATATATATATATATATATATATAACTTTAACTTCTGTGAAATTAGAGCATGCTAGAACATTTTATGCACCCAAATTGAAAATTGCATTATACCTTTGTTGTTTTAAATAGCTGGTGTCATTGTGTTACATGGAGAAAAGAAGCAAAGTTTAGTGACCAACTCTTAAAGGGACAGTGCACCCAAAATGAAAATTCTGTCATGAATCACTCATCCTAAAATCATTCCAGAACACAAAAGAAGTAGTTTTTAACAATCCTGTGTTTCAAACACCACTGAGTTTCCTTTTAAGGACAAAACACACTTTTTAGAAATATTTTCGGTTGTGTACTGCAGAGTAAATTCATAAGGAAAGGGGTGAAACGACTGAATGGTGAAATAATAAATCAAAGCATTAAACCAATAAGTCAAAATAACAACAAAAACAACAACAGCAAGAGAAAAATAAACCAGCACATGGTCAAAAAACGGCATAAAAGTTCCCAGAACTGTGGATATCATTGCAATTGCTACAGTAACACTTACAGTGTAAGCACAGCAACTGTTATCCGAGAATAGAATGCAATCACACATTCGCTTACAGTGTGTTTTCCTAGACATGTATGCGACTTTGCATGCAGCATTTCTTTAAGATAGCTTGTGTTGTCAATACTGTAAAGTTGCAGGCACTGTTATATTTGCACAAGGCTTACGCTACTGTCAGAAAGTGCGAATTTCACCACTGCATGACCTCAAAACAATCTACTCCCAAAAGGCTGTTTTTGATGAACATAAGCGCATTATTTGGTCTCAGTTTAACACTAGGCCATATCATGAGATTCATAAAGGTTTGAGTGAGAGATGTAATGCCATCTGGCTATTGCAATCCACTGAAGTGGGGCTGGATAGAAGTTGCCAGTGTTAATCATCTCAGGAGCTGTTGCCAGATGTTCCTTTATATTGAGAACACTTGTGTGTCGATTGCTGCATGTCTTGGAATCTTTAAATATCTGAAAGTGTCTGGCGGGTAGGGAATTTAGTCTGCAGTCGTTGGGGACGAGGCCTTGTACTCTTAGTCAATCAGTTATTTATTTGCTGAGTGGCAGGTTGACCAACAAGCCCATTGGAGATTCTGTCCATATCCTCAATAAAGTCTCGCTCTCAATTCTACGCTTTGTCACGCTGCCTTCGAACTGTTCAGAGAGTTGACAAAACTCAATTACTTACCTTTTAAGCAGCTGATTGATTGTTTTGTCAATTCACAATCGTGGCCACATTAAATGCTCTGGAAATGCTTTTGATTTGTCCTTATAGTGTTTCCACGATTGATTGGCGCCAATGCTTGACCTTCACTTCACGCTAGAATTAAACCGGTTAGATTCAGTTACAATTAGCAAGAGGTTTTATTCTGCTGAGGCTCCGAGTTCAAGTTTCAAACGCCAATACTGTCACTTTCCTTTAAAGAAATCTATTTGCTGTAAGTCAGCGTCAATAGTGCACCAGATGGATCCTCTGGAACTGATATAAGGGCGCGAACAATATTTGAGATGGCCATCACGTGAGAGCTTTGAAACACACATTTGCAGTTTTTGAAGTCTGAAAAGCATCAATTATATTGATTCAGAAGTAGTGGAGGAAACCGAGAATCTCAAGACTGGTTTCCTGAAACCATCCGGTAAAATAAGCAGCGTGTTTCTCTTCAGTCCTTCTTTCTCTGTGATAATACTGCTGCGTCACTCGCTGTAATCTGGTGTCATCACATTCATTTGCAATTCATGGAGCGGTCATTAAAACGGCCATTTAAATTCATACCCTTGCATTCAAAGCCATACCATGATTTTGGCAAGAGGGTTTTATTTTTTTTACATGCATATGTTTAAATGCCAAAAATTTAGAAATGAGGCATGTATGCCTTTATAGCAGTTCATAGGCTTGTCCGGAGAGGAGCTTTTTTGAAGTCATTAATTATTAATGCTCTGTCAATATGAGTAGTGCATCTACTTCACAAGGACATAGACTCATCACAATACTGCTGCTGAATAGGATGGAGATATTAATAGAGGAATATAAGAGCTTGAGATTTTGCAACTTCCACACGCTTTTCACACCAACACAACCAAGGAAAACAACATGATTCATGCTACAAGATTATATTATATAGCATGGATGTAGAATATGGGAGTCTGTTGTGAAACATTGGTGTATGTATGTTTATTTTGGCTAGGTGTCTGTATTGGCTTAAGTATACTGTAGTTTATGGAATCAACATAAGGCTGGGTGGTCCGTGGGTAATTCAGCTCTCATTAGGTGTCTCGGGGGAGTGGGAATGGGGATCTGAGCCCCTTGATGATGGATGTTTCTGGGAAGTGGACAGGGCACAGTTACAACTGACTGGCTCTTTAATGACCTCTATATGCAAAGAAACGGATGGTTGGGCCCAAACACACACACACACACACACACACACACACACACACACACACACACGCGCTCTCTCTCTCACACACACACACACACATGCTCTCTCTCTCACACACGCACTCTCTCACACACACACGCACACACACACACTTCCTAATCCCCATTGTCTTACTGCAAATGCATATACCTGTTTTGCTTTACAGAATTTATTATATAAATATTGCCTTTATTAAATAGTATTTTTAATGAATTGATCAAACTTGTGAAAAATGTGTTTAAGTACTTACACAAAAATGGACAGTTCATAACATATCGTGCATATCAACATTTTTGTGTAAGTTTTTTTCTTGCAACACACACACACAATATATTTCTGAGCAATTTTCCTCCACCGGTTTTTTCAGCTTACACACACTACCATTATTGCAATCTTCTGCTCACCACGGCTGCATTTATTTGATCAGTACAAACAGTGACAAATTATTATAATTTAAAACAGCATTGTTCTATGTGAATATCTGTTAAACTGTAATTTATTTCTGTGATGCGCAGCTGTATTTTCAGCATCATCAACCCCATAAAATGGGTTATTGTCAGTATAATATGGGGCTGTTTCACACTAGATGCTTGGCTGTTAAATGTCTCTTTTGCTTACCAAGGCTGCATTTATTTGATCAAAAATGGTGAAATATTATCACATTTTAAAATAGCTAGTTTTGTATGTGAATGTTAAAATATAATTTATTGCTGTGATCAAATCTGAATTTTCAGCATCATTACTCCAGTCTTCAGTGTCACATGATCCTTCAGAAATCATTCAAATATGCTGATATGCTTCTTCTTCTTCTTTTTTTTTTTGTGCTAAAATGTTAAAACAAAGACATTCAAGCCATGTCAGTGTGGGGCATTTCTATTCTTTAAATTGTAATAACGCACCTGTCTGTGAGCGCCCAGGTGTGCGAGAGCTGTTTATTTCCAGGTCAGCGCTTCTAAAAACGAAGACTATATCATCCCATTAAACAGATTAATTGGAATGAAATGTTCTGTTGATGCCTGGACAGAAGACAGGGTAATTGCCTCACATCTGTTTGTGCGCAGCAAGCTGCTGATGAGGCCATAGAGTGGCCCATCTACAAACTCCACCTGCCACCCGCAGCAGCTGAGGCCCGCATTACCATACCCCCATCATGATCAATACCCACGGCACCATTTGGTTTATTCAGGATACCTCAGAGAGGCCCGGCCAAATGCAGCCTCAATTAGGGGAGACCTATCCACCGGCTCCTGTGGGCTGCTGGGATTGGACGACACCGAGCAATGTGCCAAACAATGAAGCCGCTTCAAAGCTTACAGACAATCCATACTGCTTAGATTGGTCTTCATGTTCTGTGAACATCTAACTAACAAAGACTTACCTGTTCTGAATCAGGCCTGGTTCTGTGTTGGATTCTGAAAAATGTGTCTATTATATTTTAAGTTTTACTTCTTCAGAATATCATGCCAGCTAATCACAGCCTATGTTACAAAAAGGCTGTTCGAGTTTGACGCAGATCCTCACATGCAAACATATGCATTCAATATAAACTGAATTACTGATGGGCTAATCTGAATTAAACTGATGTTTCTTTGGATCACTATCTTTATTCTTGTCTCAGATCGTCTCAATTAAGTTAAAGCAAATAAGAATCGCTGCACTGTGGGTCAGTGACAGATACACACTAGTGTCCAACATTCAAGAGAAGTAAACATTTAATAAAACATTCTCAGAAATATATCCCTTTGTATTAATTTTTATTTTCTGGTTTAAAAAAACAACAACCGTTATACAATTTATATGCAATAAAATATAATTTGCTTACACGTTGAGTCATTATCACTATTTTCAGAAATGTTTTAAAGGTTTGTTTTCAAAGTGTAAAAATATAAAATAATAAAAGTATAAAATATAAAAGTCACACCTGTCATAAAGGCCAAATTATAGTTTATAATTATATTATATTTCTTACTAACCTTGACGCATCATTTCCGGTGGACAAAATATTAGTGTCACATGATCTTCAGAAATCATTCTAATATGCTGATTTTTTTTTTTTTTACCAAAATATAGACATTTAAGCCATGTCAGTGTGGGGCATTTCTATTCTTTAAATCATAATAACGCACCTGTCTGTGAGCGCCCAGGTGTACGAGAGCTGTTTATTTCCAAGTCAGCGCTTCTAAAACCAAAGACTTTATCATCCCATTAAACAGATTAATTGGAATGAAAGGTTCTGTTGATGCCTGGACAGAAGACAGGGGAATTGCCTCACATCTGTTTGTGCGCAGCGAATATATTAAAAAATAAGCATCATGTCATGTTATTGAACACATTCCTCTGTCTCCAGTAATGTTCACTAGTCGGTGGACATCAGAAACCCTTGCATTAGCTGGAGGACACACTCTCAGCGGCACATGCAAGTACGAAGCGGTCACAGCGCTTGAAGCGAGTGAATAATTAATGGCGGGATCTAATAGACTTGCTGGGCATAAGCAAGCAGGGAAGTCTTTAGACTAAGTGCTTTCTCAGATGAAGTCACTGATAATGCAGGCAGGTCTGGGGACTGTATCGATAGGACAGAGGACACTAGAGGATCATATGGCTGTCCTCAGTGAGCTATCTGAGCAGCACGTCTCTGTCATCATATGCATAATCTGGGAATGAGCCATTACTGTGAGCCTCACGTTTATCTGCCGTGTCCTTGATTGAGGTGGTTGAGGTAGCTTTTTTAAAAGAGGCATATCATGTGCTTATTATTTACTTTTCTCCTTGAGCTCCACTTAGTTATACAAGTATAAACATATATATATTTATGCCATTTTCAATTTACGAGTGGTCAATGTACATTTATTTCTTTGGATTGCCCAGTAGTTCACCCATAATTAAACATTTGCTGAAAAGTGTTTGTTTGTGTCTTCATCAGGTTTGTAGAAATGTAGCACTGCATCAGTGTCTCAGCAATGGATGCTCTGCAGTGAATGGGTGCCGTCAGAATGAGAGTCCAAACAGCTGATAAAAACATCACAATAATCCACAAGTAATCCACAGCACTCCAGTCCATCAGTTAACATCTGGAGAAGACAAAAGCTGAAACAAATCCAGCATTAAGACGCATGCCATGTCTCGCGACATCAAGCTGATGGTGGTGGTGCGAGACCCCGTCACCCGCGCCGTGTCAGACTACACCCAGATCACCTCCAAGACGCCCGGCATCCCCAGCTTCGAGAGCCTGGCGTTCAAGAACCGATCCACGGGACACATAGACTCCCTCTGGAGCCCGCTGTACATCGGCCTGTACGCCAGACACCTGCAGCGATGGCTGGCCTACTTTCCGCTCTCGCAGATGCACTTCGTCCACGGAGAGAGGCTGATAAGTGACCCGGCGGGTGAGTTGGGCCGCGTGCAGGACTTCCTCGGCCTGCAGAGGATCATCACCGATAAACACTTCTACTTCAACAAGACCAAGGGCTTCCCTTGCCTCAAAAAGCCAGAAGGCAGTAGCAAACCCCACTGTCTGGGCAAAACCAAAGGCAGAACGCATCCCAGAATCGACCCGGAGGTCATTCAGAAACTGAGGGAATTCTACCAGCCTCACAACCTCAAGTTCTACCAAATGGCAGGCATGGACTTTGGATGGCAGTGAACTTCTCTAATGGCTCCACACTGCGGTTCTTGAGCGTGAGCTGGTCTGAATGGGATCGAAGTGAAAACCCTATCTATAAGGACGGTCGATGGCTCGGTAGCTGTTCAAATCAATGCGTCTGCAGATAATTAGAGGGTCACAGCAGTCTTCTCATACCGTCGGTGTGGCTCCGTCTGAGGGAACTGACAGCAATGACCTTAAATCTTTGGTTTAAGTAGCACTTTTCTGCTCTTGCCGTTTTGATGTCTTTTTATTATGTTGCTCGGTCAAGCATCGTTCATATCGAAAAGAGTCTGAAATAAACTGTGTAGCATAGACATATTTGTCATTGCTGCAGTATTTACACTGAACAGAAAGAAGCATTCATCTACAATCACGTTACACATCCAGTGGCTCAAACTGGTTTTGATTGTGTGCTGTAACTGGTTCAGATGTAGATGCTATTTCCCTCTGCATGCATGCATTTCCACTAGTCTGAAATGCAGCCCACTAAAGCCAATCAATTATTTTAAGTTCCTGTGTAGGTGTTTTTGTACCCAAAAACGGATGAATATTTATATAAATATATATAAACTTTTTTAATGTTTCACATGATTCGGAAATAAAACGATTCATTGTATCATGTCAGCTAATTCCCCTCATGGTTCGATTGGTTAAAATGTATCTCTAGAAGCGCAAAAGATACACTACCATTCCAAACTTTGGGAGGAGTCTCTTCTGCTCAACAAGGCTGCATTTATTTTATCAAAAATATGGTAACAACTGATTTGCGGAGTCAATTCACATCCAGTTTTTAAGCGACGCAATTCGATTGTAAAACGAGACAAACCTTAGATCCATTCGGACTGTAAAGCACAATACTCGGCGTCTGTCTTTTTCTTTTAGTAAAAACAAAAAAAGCACGAGCCACTTTGTCCAATGACATTTGAGGTAGTTGTACCACATGACCTTTGGATAGTTTATTCATGGCAAACGGTCATTGATTATTAATTATGTAATATTTAAATAATATATGTAATATATAATGTGTGGATTTAAAAAGAAAAACAGTCAAACACTCATTTTCCCCTCTAGCAGTGCATTAGAGATCGTATTGGAAAAACACAGTCTGCAGCGCCACCCTCTGGCCGAAACAAGCAGAACATCGACAGAAGAAAATCTCCTCATTCAGGTTATAAAGATTCTTACAGTTTTTTACGATTGCTTAAGCACAGTTTTGAAAACAGTGCCCGGTTTGTCAAAACACTACACACAATTAACACAACCCTACACCAAAGTAGCACAACACTTCAGCTCATTTGCAAAATGGAACACTTTTGTCAAAACTATACACAACTTTATAAAAACAATATTTTGTTACCATACGAAACACACATGCTTACAGTTGTGCAAATCTAGCCTTGTGTTTTGCTCCTTGAGTGTAAGGTTTTGCTAATTGTTGGAAAAGTTTAATTTTAGTGTGTAAGCAATCGTAAAAAACTGTAATTATTATAATGCATTGTTTGATAATTATTATTCGATGCCTGTCTGCTTTTGTAAAATATTTTTTATTTAACGTACATTTCATCAACATAAAGTCAAAGAAATGAAGGATACAGCAATTCGCTCACTTATGAGAACACAAAATATCAAATAAAAAATGAACGAGCTGACATGCATTTAACACCATGAGTCTAGAAGGAGTTGGTCAGTGCCGCTTGTAGATTACTGTAAAAAAGCATTTGAATCTTCTATATGTTTCACATAAAATACAAACAGTTCATTTTGGCAGAACAAAGACTCATAGACAGATTAATGGATACATCGATGTTATCTACTCTTATGATTGAAATGAGGTCAAATATACAGAACCCAAACACATTCAAGTAACTTGAGCTCATGGATCACGTTCTTTCATCCTAAACACAACACCACACAGTAAAGCCACTTCTTCTATCCCAGACATTCGCTTGTGCTTATCTAGAATTACACTTTTGTTCTTTTCACAGTGACACTCTTATAGATCACTGCACTAGAATGCAAACTCAAAAGCAAAATTATTCTCTTATATTTTAGAGCTGAGAAGCTAACAAAATAGAGCTAAATGAAAGGGTTATCCTTACATTACTTCATATTACGGATGATCAAATAGGCTATAAAATAAACTGTTCCAGGACTTTTGCATGCTACGGTTAAAGAACCAAGATCAATAGCTCAAACCAAGGCACTCAGGAACGTAATCTGTGTCTCATTAAAAGCAAAAGATCTACTGTTTCTACTGAATCAGTGGCAGCTCTCAGAATGTTTCTAATGCAGTTTCAATGGTTCGATTTAAAAAAAAATTCCTCTTGTCACATTTAATTCTCTACGATTGAGGAAAATCGTTCATTCATCCCAGTTCTGGTTCCACAATACGTCTTACGCATACAACGTCAGCAGCACATTAATAACGAACTAAAACGCACAGCATCACCTTCAGACAGCAGCACAACATCAAACCAAACGTTATGCAAGAGCACAGTCATGAGACCTTATTGCATGGCCACGGCTCTGATAAAGACGCTAGAAGAGCGAGACTTCAGCAGTACTCCTCTGCTTGTGCAGACGGCAGGTCATTGAGGTCCAGGAAGACTGAATTGGCGGAGAGCTTGCGTCCAGAACTGGACAGGTCCAGAAACTCCTCGGCCGTGCTGGGGACGGAGCTGATGTACATGTCCCACACCTGGTCTGGAGAGTCCAGGTCCAGTAGCTTCTGCTTGATCTTCAGGTTCTTCTCAATGTTCCTCTGCTTGTGTTTGAACTCCAGAATAGTCTTAGTGTATCTGTTGATGGTGGTGACCGAGGAGGCCATGCAGGCAGTGAACGAGCTCCAGGCCAAGCTGGAGGAAACAACGTCAAGAGAGTTTCAAATCAGCATCGCTCTTTTAACTATAGTTATTAAACAATCAGGCATCATCAAGGACAGATGATGGACCTGCAAGACTCAAAAAACATGCATGTCGGAAGTACTAGGCACAGGATACACAAGCTGTTGCAAACAGTATGAATCTGTTCTTGCAATCTGACTTTATTTCTCATAATTATGACTTCTATCTCAAAATTTCCTTCTTGAAATTACAATTTATTATATAGTAATGAATGAATAATGTTCATATTAGTACAGGTCTGCAGTATAAACATCTTTGATTTGTAATTACTCTACTTGATCTACTTGAATCTATCTACTTGAATATAAAAAAAAAAAAAAAAAAAGTATTGTGTACATTTTTATTTATTTTTTTTAGATCAAGTTAATCAATTCTATTATTGTACTATGAACTATAAGACTTATATTATATATATTATATTATATTATTATATTTTGAGCTCACATTCAAGCATTTTTCATATCAGTTTTGCATTTGCAATGCATTGTTTCTAGTGCTTGAGCTGTTAAAAGTCCCAAGACAAGCATCCCTGAGCACATGGCATGAGTGAACGTACATATAAGACCAGCTGTAGTCCCAGTTCTGTGGTTTCCAGTCCTCCGGGCCCAGACTGACGGTCAGCTGGAATGCTGTAGTGAACATCATGTGTGCTACCATCCCGAGAAGACCTGTGTCCCAGACCAGAGACAAACACTGTTACAGACTGATCTCTGTGTCACCAGCAGGAGGCAGTGCTGAACTACAGCATAAAACACATAAACTCACACACACACGCACACACACACACACACACACACACACACACACATGTTGTGTTTCCATGTTTTATGGGGACATTCCATAGGCACAATGGTTTTTATACTGTACAAACTGTATGTGCTATTGCCCTACACCAACCCTACCCCTAAACCTACCCCTTACAGGCACTCAAACACGCACACACGAACACGCGCACACTCAAACACGCACACACGCACACACTCAAACACACACACACGCACACACTCACACTCACACACACACTCACACACACACACACACACACACACTCACACACACACTCACACACACACACACAACCACATATATATATCATAATGTAGTATAAAAAAACAACATATGCAATTTTATTGTCAGGTTTTCTGCCTAATGTTGTCATTATGTTGAAGTGAAGCATGCTCTGGCCAGATGGCAAACTGGACTTAATCAACAGCGTCAGACCCGCAGTCTGGACAATCAAAGTCACCTCGCCAGAAATAGCAAGGACAGAGGTAAATTACACATTATTTACAGCTCACTAAATCTGCATTCTGAGCCGCTGTGAATCCACTCAATAAATCTGAGTCACAGAATCGAGTGGAAAAACAGCAACAGCAAGCTGAAAGAGACTCCCTACGAAAGGTGGTGTGTGTCTCTTATAACATAATGTCCATCTAAATCCTCACACGTGCCTGACGATAACCCTCACGTCTCCATGACAACCGCAGCGATCCGCCTGTATGCAGACACCATCACAAACACACTAGTGAATAATAACAATAAAAAGCGCTTGTTAACCACATTAATTCATGAATCAGCAGAATCCCGGACAGTGCAGCCCACGTTCACTACAGTAACCCTTCAGAAACATGATCACTTATTTATATTGTTTATTCTGGATAACCAATACTGTGAGGCTTATATGGGATTTTGGGCTGGATGTTTTTGTATGTATCTCTGGGCTCTGATAGCACATAAATGCAAAGACATTCGCCACAAAAAAACAGGCAAAGGACAGCCTGCAGGTAGATAGACATCGACCAGTAATGCATCTCTATGAGGACAGCTGCTAGAGGGCTTTAATGCATTGCAATAGCTAATATAGAAAAGGGATATTTGCTTCACCTGTCTTTGATTTTTTAAATTGGTCAGTCAAACACAATGCGTCTTGAATGTGGATCTAACAGATCGCTATTTTATACTTTCTACAATGGTATGCAATAAATAAATGAAATTTGTTAATGTTATGTTCAAGTTAATATGTAGTGATGTGCATTTTAGACACAATATTGTCAATATGTCATTGCATACACGATCAGCACTGTGGTGTTTCGTTCCTGAATGATTCACAGTGTTTGTGAATCAATAAATCAATTGAGTCAATGATTCAGTAAGTCATTCATATAGCTGCTAAATTCGAAACTGCATACTAGTATACTCCTCTTACTATGTTTAGCATCTTTTTATGGCAGAAATAGTAATAGTATGCTGGTACATCGTTCCAAAATCAGCAAGTCACACACTTTATTTCAGAATCATTAGTAAATCAATGATCCACTTATTAAGGCAGTGATTTGTCGCCACCTACTGGTGGTTTTAGTTTCATATTTAAAGTAACATTTCATAGTTCTATATTCAGTATATTTATGCATTAATCTCTTAACATTATTTATGCAGTTGTAACTGCGGTGTAAATGCATTCATTGCATCTCTGAGCTGCATTAACCAGTCTGCGTAAATACATCTAAATGTCAGCAAAGATGGCTTTTGTTAATATCAATTTAATTTAATTGTGATTTATAAAGCGGATAGTTCCGGTCCTTG